TTTTCCATGGAATAAAATGGCTAATATATAAACATCAAAGGGTAATCTTAAGTTTTATACGATTTTTCAGGCATTTGCTCTAGTGAAGTTTCTTTTGGTTTTCATGGTTCTTTTTTTTGATAGGAAAGAAAGGCCTCGTTAAAACCCCCCTTCTTAACTAAGGACCTTATAGAAAGGTCGTTAATCATAGGAAGGAGGGAAAGAGTGCCTTGGAACTTTTATAAATAATGAAAGTTACATAATAGTAAAAAATAACACTAAATTGCTTGACATAAGACTGAAACACTCCTCCCGTCATAAAACCTACACCCAAAATAACGAAAATCATAAAAAGACCCTTACAATCACCCAATCCCTTTCTTAGCTAAGATATCTGCCTCTCCATTACACACCCTAGGAATCAACCTAACTGAATGAACCTTATCACTAATAAGCCTTGAAATCTGGAAAACAATAGGCATGAAAAAAATAGGTGCCAGAACCGGAGAATTAATCCATTCCACTGCAGACGAGCAATCACTTTCGACGATCAACCTAGCTACCGAAGCCCACCTAGAAGACAGAAAAATATCCAAGCCTCTTTTTATAGCTTTTAATTCTGCCAGAGGGGGGATTGCTTGACCAATACTCTCGGAGAAAGTCAAAAGAGTGCAACCATTCCAATCTCTTAATAAACCTCCAATACCTCCACCCGAATCAATCTGCCTAACGGCTCCATCTACATTCATCTTTAGGAAGTCAACTGGTGGGGGTAACCAGCGCAAAACAACACTATCAATAACATTACTAGAAGAAACACCATCTGCTAGAGATGGATTACCAATCAGCACATCCTCATGTATAGTTATACCCGGAAATTTGGCTAGGAACCATTTAGCAATCCTGAATCTAACAATGAAGAATAGTGACACTTTGTCAATAGGAGTTCCTTCGAAAACCCTTGCGTTCCTAAATTTCCAAACAGACCAAAAGATGGCTCCCGGAATAAACTTCCAAATCGTAGATTTCGCCCTCAACTCGTTCCAGGAACAAAGAAGAGAAGGAGGATCCTGAGGTAGAACCATGGCAATATCCCAGAAATTAGCTACCTTATTCCATAATTCCCAAACCACCGTACAAGAGATGAATAGATGCTACACAGATTCCTCCTGATTCTTACAATAGGGACACAGAATATCATCCCCTAGGGGTATACCTCTCTTGACCAACTCGACTTTGACAGCTAATTTCTGATGAGCAAGTTGCTAAAGAAAAGCTTCCACCCGAGGTGGTGCAAAGCCTTGCCAAAGCCCTTTCGACCACACTGCAGTACCCCCAGACGTAATACCGAGAGTATTCCTACAAGATTTAACTGAGAACAATCCATCTCCACTAGCAGTCCACGATAAAAAATCATCCACAAGTTCTGAAAGTTGAATATCCTTCAACTTAGACATCAACTCCAACCATTGGACCAATTCCCAATCACACAAATTTCTCCTGGTCTGAACAGTCCACACCCAACCACTCGATTCGAAGCTGCCAAACTCCTCAACTTTCCCCTCTTTAATAGGGGAAAGCACAAAAATTCTTGGAAAAAGGAATTTCAGAGGACAGTCATCCGCCCAAATGTCATTCCAAAAAGAAATAGACTTGCCATTTCCTACTTTCAATTTCGAATTTGACCTTAGACAATCTCCCACCGAATCATCCTTCAGATAATTATTAGCTATTCCTCTCAAAATCCAAGATGAATGAGGATGAGAGACCTCCCTAATCGACAACGAATTCCTACTAACCTTATGTATGCTACACAGCACGCCTTTCCAAATGGAATTTTTGTCATTGGCAAATTTCCACACCCACTTACCTAGAAGAGCCCGATTAGTGAGGTTCAAATCAAAAACACCTAATCCACCACAATTTATTGATCTGCAAACCAAGCTCCAATTCACCCAGTGGATTCTCCTCTTTCCCTCCTTATCACCCCATAGGAAATTGGCCATTAACGAGTTTAACTTCTTACCAATAATACATGGCATTCTAAACAAAGAAAGGAAGAAAATTGGTAAGGAAGATAACACCGATTTCAGTAAAACAGTCCTACCGGCCAATGATAAACATGAAGCTTTCCACCCAGCAAGTTTGGCACTAAAGTTCTTAAAAACAGGATCCCAAAGAGCCTCTGAATTCTTCTTGGCACCCAAAGGAAGGCCCAAATATTCTGTTGGAAAGGAACCTACTAAGCAACCCACTTGTGAAGCCCAATCTTTTAATTCATCGTCCTCCATGTTAATCCCAAACAGCTTACTCTTTACCAAATTTAAATGCAGACCTGCCATTATACTAAAAATCCTCAACACTCGTTTAACGTTCTTGAGCTGAGAAATCGAAGCTTGGCAAAAAATGATTAGGTCGTCAGCGAACTGAAGATGAGACAGCTTAGTTGTATTATCATTTTTGCCAATTGTAAACCCCTGGAATAGTCCCTTGTCCACTGCTTTAGAAAGCATCAAATGAAGCAACTCACCCACAATGTTAAACAATAATGGAGAGAGACTACAACCTTGTCGTAAACCTTTTTCCATTGGGAACTCATCCGAAGGAGACCCATTCACAAGAATTGAAATCGAAGCTGTTGAAAGACACTGTGAAATCCAAGCAGACCATCTGTTACCAAAACCCATCTCAGTCATTGCTCTAAATAAAATAGGCCATTCCACAGAATCATAGGCTCTACGGAAATCAACTTTTAGCACTACTCCTCTCAACCCTTGTTTTCTCCAATAATCAATTCCTTCATTCGCAATGAAGGCACAATCCAGCAGCTGTCTCCCCGGTATAAAGGCGAACTGAGACTGACTAATAACGTCACCAACACAGCAGCTAAGTCTCTTAGATAGCACTTTAGAGAGAATCTTGTAAAGACTACCCACAAGACTAATTGGCCTAAAGTCCCCCACACTATCCGAATTTAGTTTCTTTGGAATGAGCGTAATGAACGCATGATTAACCCCATGTTCCCAATCCCTGCCCAAATAAAAATCTTGAAAAAACCTCAAAACATGCTCCTTTAGAGTCGGTCAGCATTTCTTGAAGAAGCCCATTGTGAAGCCATCCGGACCTGGAGCTTTAGAGCTGTCCGAATAGGCTATTGCTTGCCAGATTTCCTGTTCATTGAACTGCTCCTCAAGTTTTGTAGATTGACTTTCTGTCAGCTTGGCGAAATCCAGAGATAAAGCTTCCACTTCCATTATAGACTTGTAGCTATAAGCATTCTTAAAGTAGTTCGTAATATGTGCCTTTATCAAATCCGGGTCTGAAACAACAGAACCATTAATCATCAGACTTGTTATTTCGTTCCTCTTGCTCCTGTTTAACGCAGACAGATGAAAGAATCTTGTATTTCTATCCCCATCTTTTATCCATTTTGTCCTAGACTTCTGAAACCAAATACTTTCTTTCACCCTATACAACCTCCATAGATTCGTTCTGAACTGAGACAACTGATCCCATTCCTGCTGTGAGAGAACAACGTCTTGTGCCTTAAATTCTAAATCCTGGATCTTCAATTCCAACTCTGAAATAGACTCTGCAATCCCCTGAAACTTGCTGCCAGACCACTTTTTTATTGATTTTTTGTACCTTGTAAAAAACTGAAGAATCCCCTTCTGCTCTTACTCCCCCTCCAATTTTCCAAAGACGATTGAACCAACTCCTCAAAACCTTTCTCCTCTAGAAGATAATTAAAAAATCTGAACGGTTTAGGACCCCAATCTACTGTTTTTTCCTCCAATAAGACAGGATTATGATCAGATAAAGACCTAGGTAATAGGCTCTGCACTACATTCGGAAAACATAACAGAAAATTCCCAGATATAAGAAACCGGTCAAGTCTGACCCAAGTAGAAGTCTCTCTTTTGTTACACCAAGTAAATCTTCCCCCTACCATAGGGAGATCTATTAAGTTAGTTTGCACCATAAAATTTCTAAGAATATCAATAGATAGCCAATTCTGAGACTTTCCCAACTTCTCAGCCGGATCCAGATACACATTTAAGTCACCCCCAATGCAGACTGCCACGGTTTGAGCCGCGACAAAATCCAACAACTCCCTGAAAAATTCCTCCTTTTCTGAATCAATTGAAGGACCATAAACATTAATAATCACACACTCTTCATTTGAATTCTTAAATCTTCCAAAAACTGCTATGAATCTGCCCGTTAAATGGCTATTTGAAACTTCGAAAACCATATCATTCCACAAGACCAACAGTCCACCTGCCGAACCCACTGCTGGAACGAAAGTTCCTCCATTAAGAAACCTTCCACCTAACCTCCTCCACAATGCCTGAGAACAACATTCTAACTTAGTTTCTTGGATGAGAAGAATACACGGCTTATGCTTCTTAACCATATTTGCTACAGCTCTAGATTTCTCCTTTTTACCCAAGCCCCTGACGTTCCATGAAAATATCTTAATCTTCATCATATATACACGAAAAACAGAAAATCCTCGAAGTAAAGAAATAAACCAGAAACCTATTCCCCCGGGCCCGTCCCTTCCCTATCTTTAACCAATCCCTCCTCAAGATTAATAATTTTTTCCAAGAATATCTTCTTCCCCTCTTTAAATGAGATCCCTAGAATTTTACTAACTTCCCAGGTGGCCAGAGCCTCCTCCAAGAAAATGTATCTGATTTAAGGTTTAGGTGAAACATTATCTGATTTATTGGGTTGAATTTTAGTTGACTTAATGTGTTATGTCGTATTTGTTGTTCACATAACAATGAGAGACATGTGCATGCTACACATTAGTTACATTTTGATGTGTCACATTAATTTTTCCATGGAAAATTTATTGAGATTAATTAAAGTGGTTTTTCTCTCCAAAGGTACAGTTGTATTTTCTCATTCTTGCCTTTAATTGTGAGATATTTATTGTTCATGCATTCACCAATTAACATCCATTTCCCCCCTTTCTTGAGTAGTAAACCTTTGAGAATATTAGCAATGAAATGGAACACAAACAGAAAAGATCCATGCTTAATCTAGTTTTTTTTATTCAGTTCCATTTATGTACATTCCAGTTACATTTCTTGATCATGATCAGTGGGATCTGTATGATTACTTTTCTTCTCCTATTAACAATTTGTTAAAGATATTGCTTTGGAGTTTCATTCTTGATATGAGAATATTAAATAATGGGGATGTTGAGTTCTTTCATAATATTTTCTTGTTTGTTTTACAGGTTTCATAATACATCAACAGGTAGAGTGTATAGGCCAGATTCAGGGGGATATGGCGTCAAATATGATTATGTTCGTTATGGGAGCAGGGATTATGATGATCAGAATGGTCATGGAAGAGACCCTGAATAGAGTTATAGAGATGATGAGCGGTATGGCAGATATGGGGATTCAAACAATTGTGATGGAGATTGTTATGACAGAGATTATGAAAACCGCTACAGCAGGGATTATGACTACCTGAGGTATAAGTAGAAGTGTTGATGATTTTCAATAGTCACAAGATCTAGGGGCTATGGTAAAGACCATGCTTTTGACGGGGATGGTTCTTCTACTTGGTATGCACTTATTTACTTTGAGGCATTATATTGCTACGTTCTTTCACGAAACATTAATATTGTTGATTAGATTATGTTGAACATGTCTCAGTTTTTGTTGATGTAATAATGAAAAACATTCAAAATGAAGGAGTAAATATTAATAGTTTCTATTGAACTAGATTAGGATTCTTATATGTTGCATTTACTTGGTAACTTTTCATGGAATTTTTCTATCCAAATTTGCTTTTGGGTGTCATTTCACCATATAACATGTCCAGATTTAATACTTGAGATCCTTGTGAAATTTAAGTACGATGCTAATACCTTTTTGATATGCTTTACATGGGGAAGAAAATAAGCTTGATCATCTTCTCTTCCAGGGGAAGCAGTTATGTAGAAGCAGTAAGTGAGATTCAGATTCCTTCTTATAGTGAAAGGTATTTCTTTTTAGAGACATATTGACTTCAATTGTGTTTTGCTTGACATGGGAAATGTAATTAGCTTGATCATCTTCTCTGTCAGGGGAGCGGTGCTAGAACTAATGATCACTCTCAAGACGGAAGGTAACCCTTCTTATATTGAAAGATATTTCTTTTTAAAGACATGTTACTTTCAATTTTGTTTTGCTTGATGATGTATACTGAAAAATATCTTTCATGATAGGGTATGCCAAACTTCTGTAGCAACTGATCCGGGGGTTTCTCCTCCTACTAGCGATAATAATCCTAACCAAGTAGCCCTTGATCTCAATAATTCAGCTTCTCGAAACCATCAAGTGGTGGTCTTTGATGAATTTGATCCATGCATTTCAGTTTCAGGTATGAAATTCTATATGAATTCAATGGTTTCTATGTTCCAATTCTATTACCTGGATGGTCATAGTAATCTTCAATTATTAAAGTAGTTTATGTGTTGTTCTTTTGTCCTGACATATCGTCTTGGAAAGTGTAATTTTCTAAGTTGTCCAAATATTAGGTTTGACATGCTCTGCTGCTTCAAATTTCAATATATTATTTTTTAATTTATTTTTTATGTGTTAGGTTTTAGTGTACTTTCTATATTTGAATTACATTTTTCTTGCCAAATTGTTAGTCATTTAAATAGGGATATTACATTTTGGAGACCTAAAACTTTTACTGTTAGTTACATACTAGTGAGAATTTTAAATTAAAACCTAAAAGACTATTTCACTGACTTATTTCAGTTTTGATTTTAAATTGAAATATAAAATCCTTCAACCGGCTTTGGATTGTCTTCATATGAAATTATATATGAATTCAATGGTTTCTATGTTCCAATTCTATTACATGGATGGTCATAGTAATCTTTTTTTTATAGAAATGATAGGCCTCGTTAAAACCACCCTTCATGATTAAAGGATCACAAGGTGCTCCTTAATCAGCGGAAGGAGAAAAAGAATGCCTAAATAATTCATTGGTAACCACAAATTACAAAACTTAGAAACAACGTACAGTCTCTCTTACAGATAACCCAACCAACCAAACGAAAACATCGTATCTATCCAATACCAACCTTAGCTAAACTATCAGCCTCAACATTGGCTGACCTAGCAACCCATCTAATACTACCATTCAAACCTCTAATCTTATCAACAATAGCTGTCACAATGTCTAAATACACATAGGGACAACAATCGATATTCTTGACCCATTCCACTACTAATTTACTATCTGATTCAACAATTAACCTGTCCTTAAAACTCTGCTGAATCGAAGCAAAGAAGGATAACCCTTCCTTAATAGCCTTAAGTTCTATCAAAATAGGAGGACCTGGACCAGCAGCATCTTGAAAGGAACCCAACACCGAACCATCGTGAACTCTTAAGATGCCCCCAACACCACTCTTCCTCCAGTCTGCAGTCACTGCATCATCAACATTCAACTTAATAAAACCCTTTGGAGGGTGAGACCAAGACACAATTTTGATAATAGGAGAGCTTGAGAAATAGCAACAATCCCCAAGTGAAGGGTCACAAATGAGTGAGTCCTTAGGAATAGATACAACCTTGTAGTAAGCTAAGAACCAAGCAGCCAACCTACATCTTGCCATAAAGAATAGATCAATCTGATCTACCCTCCCCCCTCGAACACAACGGCATTCCTACATTTCCAAATTATCCATAAAACCACCCCCGAAATGAAGGACCAAATTTTAGAATTAGGAACCAATTCATCCCAAGCAACCATAAAACTTTGAGCGTTGACTTGAAAAACTGAAGAAACTCCCCAAAAACTCATAAATTTGTTCCATAAGGACCACGCCACCAAGCAAGAAAATAATAAGTGTGATGAGGTTTCATTTTCATCCGCCTTTTCACAAAAAGGGCAAGCAACATCAACAATAACTGCGACTCCTCTCCTCTGTAACTCATGTTTTACTGGCAGTCTCTGCAACACCACTTGCCACAAAAAGACCTCCACTCTAAGAGGCACTAAACCCCTCCAAACGTATTTCTTCCAAAAGGATCTGATGTACCAGCAGGACAACAAGACTTAACACATGAACTGACAGTATAGATTCCTTCCCCATTCCCACACCAAACTAACCCATCTGATAACTCCTGAGAAAGAGTGATATTATGAATCAAAGCCATTAAATCAACATATTGAGACAATTCCCAATCACTCAAATTCCTTCTGACATGAACATGCCAAGCCACACTGTTGACCGAAACTCCCCAAACTCAATAAGCTTCCTATTCTTGTTTATAGACAACACAAACATTCTGGGAAAAACCACTTTAAGAGGGGAATCATGTGCCTAACTATCAAGCCAAAATCTGATGCTCCCTTCATCCCCCACTCGGACTTTAAACATACTTTGAAACTTAGCTCCAAACTGATCTTCCTGGACCACCGATTTCCAAATCCAAGAAGCATGTGCAGGAAGTTTCTCGTTAAACATTAGAAAACTGGGATCCATATTATATTTACAGCAGATAAAAAATAGGAGGACCTGGACCAGCAATATCTTGAAAGGAACCCAACACCGAACCATCGTGAACTCTTAGGATGCCCCCAACACCACTTTTCCTCCAGTCTGCAGTCACTGCATCATCAACATTCAACTTAATAAAACCCTTTGGAGGGTGAGACCAAGACACAATTTTGATAATATGAGAGCTTGAGAAAGAGCAACAATCCCCAAGTGAAGGGTCACAAATGAGAGAGTCCTTAGGAATAGATACAACCTTGTAGTAAGCTAAGAACCAAGCAGCCAACCTACATCTTGCCATAAAGAATATATCAATCTGATCTACCCTCCCCCTCGAACACAACGGTATTCCTACATTTCCAAATTATCCATAGAACCACCCCCGGAATGAAGGACCAAATTTTAGAATTAGGAACCAATTCATCCTAAGCTACCATAAAACTTTGAGCGTTGACTTGAAAAACTGAAGAAACTCCCCAAAAACTCATAAATTTGTTCCATAAGGACCACGCCACCAAGCAAGAAAAGAATAAGTGTGATGAGGTTTCATTTTCATCCGCCTTTTCACAAAAAGGGCAAGCAACATCAACAATAACTGCGACTCCTCTCCTCTGTAACTCAAGTTTTACTGGCAGTCTCTGCAACACCACTTGCCACAAAAAGACCTCCACTCTAGGAGGCACTAAACCCCTCCAAACGTATTTCTTCCAAAAAGGATCTGATGTACCAGCAGGACAACAAAACTTAACACATGAACTGACAGTATAGACTCCTTCCCCATTTCCACACCAACTAACCCATCTGATAACTCCTGAGAAAGAGTGATATTATGGATCAAAGTCATTAAATCAACATATTGAGACAATTCCCAATCACTCAAATTCCTTCTGACATGAACATGCCAAGACCACACTGTTGACCGAAACTCCCAAAACTCAATAAGCTTCCCATTCTTGTTTATAGACAACACAAACATTCTGGGAAAAACCACTTTAAGAGGGGAATCATGTGCCTAACTATCAAGCCAAAATATGATGCTCCCTCCATCCCCTACTCGGACTTTAAACATACTTTGAAACTTAGCTCCAAACTGATCTTCCTGGACCACCGATTTCCAAATCCAAGAAGCATGTGCAGGAAGTTTCTCGTTAAACATTAGAAAATTGGGATCCATATTATATTTACAGCAGATAAAAAATAGGAGGACTTGGACCAGCAACATCTTGAAAGGAACCCAACACCGAACCATCGTGAACTCTTAGGATGCCCCCAACACCACTCTTCCTCCAGTCTGCAGTCACTGCATCATCAACATTCAACTTAATAAAACCCTTTGGAGGGTGAGACCAAGACACAATTTTGATAATATGAGAGCTTGAGAAAGAGCAACAATCCCCAAGTGAAAGGTCACAAATGAGAGAGTCCTTAGGAATAGATACAACCTTGTAGTAAGCTAAGAACCAAGCAGCCAACCTACATCTTGCCATAAAGAATATATCAATCTGATCTACCCTCCCCCCTCGAACACAACGGCATTCCTACATTTCCAAATTATCCATAGAACCACCCCCGGAATGAAGGACCAAATTTTAGAATTAGGAACCAATTCATCCCAAGCTACCATAAAACTTTGAGCGTTGACTTGAAAAACTGAAGAAACTCCCAAAAAACTCATAAATTTGTTCCATAAGGACCACGCCACCAAGCAAGAAAAGAATAAGTGTGATGAGGTTTCATTTTCATCCGCCTTTTCACAAAAAGGGCAAGCAACATCAACAATAACTGCGACTCCTCTCCTCTGTAACTCAAGTTTTACTGGCAGTCTCTGCAACACCACTTGCCACAAAAAGACCTCCACTCTAGGAGGCCCTAAACCCCTCCAAACGTATTTCTTCCAAAAAGGATTTGATGTACCAGCAGGACAACAAGACTTAACACATGAACTGACAGTATAGGCTCCTTCCCCATTCCCACACCAAACTAACCCATCTGATAACTCCTGAGAAAGAGTGATATTATGGATCAAAGCCATTAAATCAACATATTGAGACAATTCCCAATCACTCAAATTCCTTCTCACATGAACATGCCAAGACCACACTGTTGACCGAAACTCCCCAAACTCAATAAGCTTCCCATTCTTGTTTATAGACAACACAAACATTCTGAGAAAAACCACTTTAAGAGGGGAATCATGTGCCTAACTATCAAGTCAAAATCTGATGCTCCCTCCATCCCCCACTCGGACTTTAAACATACTTTGAAACTTAGCTCCAAACTGATCTTGCTTGAAATGGTTATGGACCACCGATTTCCAAATCCAAGAAGCATGTGCAGGAAGTTTCTCGTTAAACATTAGAAAACTGGGATCCATATTATATTTATAGCAGATTACCTTCTTCCACACTGACTCTTTATCATTAGCAAACATCCAAGACCATATCCCAAATAAAGCTATTCATATAACTAATGTCCAAAGCACCAAGACCACTAACACTTTTTCCAGAACACACTTTTGTCCAATTAACCCAATGGATTTTTTTGGCCTCAACTCCTCCCCATAAAAATCTGGCCATGATGGAATTTAGCTTGACAATCACCGATGAAGGAATCTTGAACATGGACATGAAATAAATAAGAAGGGAACCCAAAACTGCCTTCAGTAAAACCAGCCTCCCTGCCATTGATAAAGTCTTCGCCTTCCATCTGGCTAGCTTCAAATGAAACTTTTGAACTACTAGATCCCACAACAACATAGAATTTCTCTTAGCACCAAGAGGCAACCCCAAGTACTCCGCAGGAAAATGTCCTACTGAACAAACGATAGCATTAACCCACTGACGAACCTCTTCCTCATTAATAT